GGCAAAAGGGTGTACATTTCCTAGAGTACATATGTAGTACAAGAACTAGAGTAGCATAAATTGGTCTCCTTTTGGAGAAAAAGAAACTTAAAATTGTGACTTTGGGCATGGAGGGGAAAAAAAAAAAAACAAAGAAAGAATGCTCTTTTTTACACTAATTAAGTAGGATAAACTTTATCATAGAGTTTAGGGGATGTTCTTTTTACAACTCGAGTTTAAATATAATTTTATGTGAGAAAAAATATTATAACGAAAAAGTTGAATTTCAACTTTCGTGAGAGAAAATACTGTAATAAAAATATTCGAACCGAAATTACAAATTTTAAAATACTCAAAAACCAAATATAAAAACTATAAGAAAAAAAAAAAAACCTATGAGATAGTCTAGGTTATTATCTATAGACCGAACTACCTTATGACAAAATTAATAATTTTACAATTTCTAGGGGAAAATGAAATACTCCATCCGCAGAGATAAGTCGGTATTATTAAAAAAACAGATTTTGAAGGTTAGTAACCCACTTCATCATGTTGGTTACGGTTCCATGATTAGTACATAATTCATTGTCAGATGGGCAATCATGTTGTACCCAATTGTATGAGCGTCATGATCATACATATGTAATTGAAAGTAAAATCTATGAGAGAGATATTAAATACATTGATTTAGTCGCTAAAGCCATGACGTGGGTTCAAGTTTGTACTCCTTGCTCCCTCTTAGTTTAAGCTTTGACTTTCATAAAACTTCTGCCTCTCATTGCATATGTTTTCTATAATTATATCTTCGAATAAATTAAAATCTCCGAAATTGAGATGGATTCTTCTGACTAATTACCTTTACTCTGCTTTTGTGTTTTGCTTTGGTGATCCTTAATCAATTTTATAAGAAAACACGGTAGAAGCACATAACCGGTTCTAACAACCTTTTTATTAATTTAATGTCAAATTGTCAATTGCGTTAAGAAAAACTCGTACATAAGTTAAGCCATAACATATTATTTATCACAGACACATATACATGACCAATATATGTAGGTGTATATATATTATATGTACGCAGACATGTATATTATAAAGATCAAGAGCAAAACAATTAGTTGGCGTTGGATTTGCCCCCACAGGCCACACACACAATTTTTTGAAGCTTAAATTTTTTATGAGCAAATATTATGGTAAAAACCCTACCATCATGTGAGGCTCATGATGGATGGTGTGAACATAAACTGAGAAAACAGAATGATAACCCCTTTTGTAGGGCCAAACTGATGGAGACTCCGACACAATAATCCCATCTTTTTTTCGAAGTGGGAATTTGTATTTAGTCATTATAACAACCCCAAAATATTGCCTAAATCTAGTACTTTCAGAACATATAGCTCATTGAGATAAAAAGGGCTGCTTCTCTCTATTCCACAAAGTCAATCATTTCCCAAGGCTGCGTCTTCGCTTGTTGACTCCGCAACCAAGGATATATATATATATATATATATATATATTATACAATTCTTTTATGGTAAACTGATTGACCGCACTATTATGGAGAGGAAGAGAGAGGAAGATTTTGTATGTCATAATTCTCACGAGAAATAATTAAGAGACAGTTTTAGGCTATAATTCTTTTGGGGCATAATTGCTATACTGATAGGTTGCACATGCTTGCATGAGGAAGAACACACGTAACAAGGAATCCAAAGCGAGTAAGTAAAAGTAAGACACAAATATGAAATCAGGATCTGTTTCGCATTAAGGATTTGCTTCTAAAATCCCTATCAAACATGCTTTGATATTGTTGGTAGACTTCAAACAACGTCGCTTATGATTACAATTAGGAACATTAATGCTACACCAAATCAAATCTTTTGGTTGGCGCTTTACCCATATGAGTAAATCCGTGGATTATCATTTTCCTACCAAACTTAATGAGATATTTAAGCACTTTTGCACTGTGAAATCATATGTACCCTTGCTTACCTATCATCTCTGAGAATTTCTAGTCATCTGTTGACCCAAATTTTCATTACTAGTCTTGGATTTCCATATCTCACTACGTTGCTTTTATATTGATTTAGTAACAAATAAAATTCTCAATTTGGAGCAAGTGGTGTTCTGGTCACCAAGTGCCAGTTAGTCACAGGTCATAGTTAACAAATTAGCATAATAATGTGATGGTGGTCAAGAGGAAACATAAGATTCAATTGCTCAAATCTTAGTGCTTAATGTTGTAACTTTCACTTGCCTTTTTAGGGGTTTTTTTTTTAATAGATAATGTTAAGAGTTAGACACCCTAGTTTATTCTAAACTATATCGAGCAATAAAAAGTATAAAAAAATAATAATAATAACACACAAGATTTATAACAGTTCATTCTTAATATGAGAGTTGCGTTCATTTTTCAGCTGCTATTAAAAATTCAGTACGATGAAAAATTATATACAAACACGCACCTTAGATGTTTTCTCTAGCCTCTTTGTTAACCTTAAAAACAACAGCTGTGTTTGGAATTGATCCCGTTTTTATTTTTCACGTTTTTTGAGACGTTTTTAAAACGACGTTTAGCACAATAAAGATAAAAAACGGAAATGAAAATGATTTTTTGGTTTAGTGTAAAATGAGAGAGAAATGAAAAATGACTTTTAGTCGTTTTTTATTTACTATTTTTGTTTTCTCCTCTCTCGAGCAGAGAGAGAGAGACATTAATAAATTTTTTTATGCTGAAAATAATCTTTTGATAAAACTACCAAACGCATTTTTAAAAATGAATTATGTCTGAGATTGAAAACATTTTCATTTTCATTTTCATACAAAAAATAAAATCATTTTAGAACGAGTTTCAAATACGCCTAACATTTTTCTATATAAAGATTGATATGCGTATTGTTTCTGTATCGGGGTAATAATTAGACTCCACAAATTTAACGACACACAACTAGTGAGGGCAGTGGACCTTGGAGTTTCAGCAGGTACGGAGTAACACAGATAAGAACGATGATTTTGTCTGCGGCAAGTGACATGTGGTGCATGAAAATAAGAATGAAGAGGTGGCATGCAGGTTGGTCAGATTTTGATCCTCTTGAAATCCTTCAAGCTTCAAACAACCATCTTCTGTGGGGTTAGGGCTTTTTTCCATTTTTCCTTCGTGTGTACGTTTGGTCCGGAATATCTTTTGCACAATCGATCATTGATCTCTTTATCTTTTCCCCACTCTTGGATCTGTGATTCTATGGTCCATGGATAATGGCTTACTTTTGGGAGCACAATGTGTAGGAAATATCATTTTAATAGTAGTTTGACTTGGTCTTCTTTTTTCTTTCCCCCTTTTACCCTAATCAAAATTCAAATTCTGTATTTGGTTCCTAAAAAAAGGGAAAAAAGAAGAAGAAGAAGAAGAAGAACAAACAAACATAAATGATGAAAAGGCCGAGTGGAAACTAGCCGAGGGAAATTGGAGAATGCGTGTGATTAATTCGTTTTAGAATTGGACACTTCTTTGTTCTCTCTGGGGTAAGGAAGTGAAATGGTTAGTTTGAGCCTGAATCCTGGAGGAGTCCAACTACGTGGTTCTTTGGGGAGGACAAAAGTACTGGGCTGAAAATTGCATTATTAAAGCTTGGAAAACTAAGTTGCTCGTTCATTTTACCTGATTCGAGTTTAGAATTTAAACTTTGTTACAATAAAAAGCTCTTAGAAACAGTCACATCTAACTTTTTATTACAGTAAAAAACTCTCATATAAAGTCACATCTCAACTCAAATCAACAAACAAAACGGGCCCTAAAAAACAAAAAGGGCTAATCTCATTTTTATCCCCAAACTATAGGTTAAATTTTATTTTGGCCATTGACTTTTAAAATGTTTTAAAGTGAGTCTCTGATCTAGTGTCCCAAATTGTTGCGAGTCTATGATCTAGTGTCCCAAATTGTTGCGAGTCTCTGATCTAGAGGACGTTTGGTTTATGTATTCAGAATCATGATTCAGAACCATTCTCGTTTTACGTGTATTTTTTATGAGAGAAAACATTGTAGAAAACCATGAATCATGATTTAGAATTAGGGACGAATATAGAAAACAAACGTCGTGTCCCAAATTGTTGCGAGTATTTGATCTAGTGTCCCAAATTGTTGCGAGTCTCTGGTCTAGTGTCCCAAATTGTTTATCAAACTCATTCTAAACATACACATACAACAATGACAATGAGAGCCAATGTTGATAAGGAAAAGAGACAAAGAGTATATGAGTTTAGATTTTTACTCTTTGTTCTTATTCAATATCTTTTTAATCAAATAATTATATCAGTTAACATGGTATTAAATAAAAGTAAAGAGTAAAAAAATAAAACTCAGCCACTCTGATAACTTCAACAATTTTCTCTCTTTTTTTTTAATAACTCTCATTACTTGGTTCCGTGACTCTGTCCAAGAAAATTGGGCTCAAACACAGGTTGGACCAACAAATTGAAAACCAAATCAATAAAGGGTCATGACAACTGTAAGAAATCACGAGCCCAACAGATAAAAATAACTCCAAAAAGAGAGAAAAAAAAAAAAAAAAGATCTGTAGTCTTCTTTCCGCTTGGCCGAGGTAGAAACCGGGATTAAGTGGATCAATGTGATAGGATTTTCTGATGCCAATGGGCCCCATACTCCACAGAATAATGGCCCATATTGGCTTCAGTTGGATTCTAAAATCTACGAGTCATACAAGGGGGATCAAATGTGAACCACAAGGTTGTGATTATTCCAGGTAAGCTGGAGAATAGGAGGTGATGTAATGGCCCATATTGGCTTCAGTTGGATTCTAAAATCTACGAGTCATACAACGGGGATCAAATGTGAACCACAAGGTTGTGATTATTCCAGGTAAGCTGGAGAATAGGAGGTTATGTAGGTAAAGATTTCAGATTCTTCCTGCCACGTGGCGACCCAGAAGCCAATCGGACATCCACACTCCTATCCTTGAAGATAAGGCGGTCCATACATTAACTGATTTTTTTTGCATGTTTTTTTGGGCATTCCTTTCTATTGATTACCAATCACCCTCACAATACACAAACACATACACACATTGTAGGAAAGCTTTTGGACTTAAACCTGCACGAGTATGGCATCCGCTTGTGCATCTTCTGCAATTGCAGCTGTCTCCATTTCTTCTCCCAGGCAAGCAATTCTTTCCAACCATACATTTTTTTTAGTATTTTAAATTTTACCCTTGTTATTCCCATAAAGGGGTTAAATCTATGACCGAACATTATTTTGTGTTACCATGCCACATATTTATGTTCACGAGGAAACCACTGAATAAAAAAAAAAGTAAATATGTTCACCAAAAAAAAAAAAAAACTCGGAAGGGGGGTTTGAATTTTAAACCTTAACATTAGAGGTATTGTGGAATTACGGCTAGATTATGTCTGTATCTCGAATATATGTGTTTACTTGGTCACTTGTACCTACTAAAGTATGCATGATTTAAATTGAATTTTATTTATTTTTTTTTTTTTTGGGATTTTTGAATTATAAAAATGAATTCAGCTCTTAAGGAAAATGAGAAAATACAAGTGGAACTAAGGAAAATCTTATAGTTATAAGAGTATATGTAGTAAATAAAACTTTGAATGATGTGGTTTAAAAAAAAGTAATAACGTTTAAGCTACTTAATTAAGGGCAGCTCCCAGAAGAGCGTGGCTAGTTTGGGAGCAACCAAGGGTTCATTCCTTGGTGGAAGCAAGAAATTGAGAGTGAGAAACTACACAGCGCCGATCAGATCATCAAGATCTTTCTCTACAGTTTGCGCTGCTGCTGACCCCAACAGACCCCTTTGGTTCCCAGGCAGCACCCCTCCTGACTGGCTCGATGGCAGGTCATTCAACTCAACTCTCAACTCTCAACCCTATAATTCATATAAAATAAATGGCATATACTATCTATATATATATATATATATATCTATGTATATTGTGTTGCTAAGAATATGTTTTATGTTGTAATATTGCAGCCTTCCAGGAGACTTTGGTTTTGATCCTCTTGGCCTTGGTAAGTTAAAGCAAAAAACATATCAATAATATATGTGTGTATTGAAATGTAGTAATGATCATTGTTACTGTTAGATTGTAGGTCCTATTGGTCAGATATGTTAATGATGCCCATATTATATATATATATATATATATATATATATTAAAGTAATTATTGTGTGATGAATTGCAATACTCTTTTAACTCATATATGAGAGCATTGTTCAATTCCGACACAACTCGAGTCGAGAAGCATAATATTGCTAGTCGAAAGCTCATCCCGACTCAATCGTCACATTCCAACTCAACCCGAGTCGGAATGCATAATACTATTGCTAGGATTATAAATTTTGATTCGTGTTAAGGCGGGATAATATGAGTGGGATGAATAACATGATTTTCTAATATTGGTCGTCAATAATGTTATGAAAAATAATAAATAAAGGACAATAATATTAAGATTGAAAATTAATTACGGAACTTTCTTTTTCTAAACAGGATCTGACCCTGAGACCTTGAGATGGAACGTGCAATCCGAGATTGTGCACTGCCGATGGGCCATGTTGGGTGCTGCGGGGATCTTCATTCCTGAATTTTTGACAAAGATTGGCATCCTAAACACCCCATCATGGTACAGTGCCGGGGAACAAGAATACTTCACAGACACAACTACCCTGTTCATAGTTGAGATGATCTTCATTGGTTGGGCCGAGGGCAGACGTTGGGCCGATATTCTCAAGCCCGGCAGTGTCAACACTGACCCAATCTTCCCCAACAACAAGCTCACCGGCACAGATGTGGGCTACCCTGGTGGGCTTTGGTTTGATCCTCTTGGGTGGGGAAGTGGTTCCCCTGAGAAGATCAAGGAGTTGAGAACAAAGGAGATCAAGAATGGGAGGTTGGCTATGTTGGCTGTGATCGGTGCTTGGTTCCAACACATTTACACTGGAACTGGCCCAATTGACAACCTCTTTGCTCACCTTGCCGATCCCGGTCACGCCACCGTTTTTGCGGTAACTGAAATATATATATATATATATATTTATGTGCATTTGGCAATATAACAAAAAATATGATAGCTGAGTGGTGGCAGTCTTGATATATGACTATATTAATAATAGTGATAAATAGTATTCTGATTTACAAAAGAGGAAAAGATTACTTAAATATCATGAATTCATGTTTAAATTTTGAAACTAACATTTAGTAATTGTGTTTTATTCGTTTGTCATTTCTTTCCAGGCATTCACCCCCAAGTGAGGAAGCTAGGAAGAATGCTAGCATTAGCGCTGCCGCGATGGAAACGTGTTAATTTTATGAGGAAATGGGGCTTAAGATCATATGGAGATGCGTTTTTCAGTACTTGTTCTAATGGAAAATTTCTCTTGTTAGAACTTGTTACGCCTCGTATATTTTGTGCTATAGAATCTTGCAATGTACAAATAGTTCCTTGAAACTTTAAGACTTCCATGAACATAAGTTGATCTGGATTTCCATTAATTCAGTTATTTATTATTATTATTATTATTTAAAAAAAAAAAGCGACAAATACTTCTTAAAACGTATGGATTTAGATTTTGACTTCTTTATTTTTTATTAATATTCTTTTTAATCAAATTATATTAGTCAAAGGAAGTACACGAGGAAAATTGGATCTATAACCGACCTTAACCACAAGAAACGAACTAAGATTCTGCAGACTTTTCAATTGTAGAAACGATAATTACATTACAACGATATGACTTATAAAACGACAATATCCTTAAGGAACGACAAATCTCAGGAAATGACTAAAAGATAAGAAACAATACGAATGGACACAGCAACTCAAATAATGACATTAAAGGACCTAAGCTGAATGGGAAAACGGCAATGACCTAGATAAACCAGTTCGATAGCTTGAAGAAACGACAACACTGGGAAGGCCTCGTCAAAACGTTAAAAACGACAGTCATAGAAAAATACGAATTAAATTCAAGACTTCAATTGCCTAGAGAATACCATAAAACAAAATCGATAACAAAGGGCACGCTTGAAATTCGTTCCAAAATGATTTTATTTTTTGTATGAAAATAAAAATAAAAACGTTTTAAATCTCAGACATAAATCATTTTAAAAAATGCATTTAATAGTTTTATTAATATATAGAAATAGCTTTCAGTTTAAAGGATGGAATGTTGAGTCACGTTGGTCATATTTGACCATGTTTATTTATTTTATTTATGGAGTCAGTTGTTTAGTGTCATAGAATATAGGAGTTTCTTTTTTAGTGGTGCAGAACATGGCTTTGTGTTTACCAAGCCAGTAGGAGGTTTGTTTTTGCACGTTGCTTTTTTCTAGGATTTAATGGATGCATGTTCCTTATTTCATGTTATTATCCGTTGGAGATTAGCCCTATATAAAGAACATCAGGTTGTAAGCTTTTGTTCGGCAGCAAATAATAAAAGTTGTTCATCTCATATTTTTGTCCTTTTCTCTTTATTATTGTAACAGTGGTATCAGAGCCACACTTGGCGAGTGAGTGATTTATACAGAGCCTTGTTAAGAGTTTAAAAAAGAGGAAGCTTGAGAGAGTGAAATACGTCAGGCCAAGAGTGTAAAAAAGAGAAAAAGGAGTGATATAGAGTTGTAGCTATAACTCTTTTTTATCTCACTTGGTTTCTTTTTTGCAGCAGCAGCAGTGAAGAAACATGGCCTCTGAAAATTTTGTGCAGCCAGCTATCCCTCGCTTTGATGGTCACTATGATCATTGGAGCATGTTGATGGAGAATTTCTTGAGGTCCAAAGAGTTTGAGAATTTGCGCATGAAGTCAAGGGAGTCAGTTTCTGATTATTTATCAAGAACAATGACAATTGCTAACAAAATGCGGATCCATGGCGAGAAGATGGAAGACGTCACCATCATTGAGAAGATTCTTCGGTCGATGACACCGAAATTCAATTTTGTTGTTTGTTCTATAGAAGAATCGAAAGATATTGATGCACTTTCAATTGATGAGTTACAGAGTTCTTTGCTGGTTCATGAGCAAAAAATTGTTCAGCAAGATAAAGTGGAACAAGCGTTGAAGGCAGCAGCCAATCCCAAAGGTCCTGGTCGTGGGAAAGGGAGATGGAAGGACAAAGAAACACACCAAAAATCAGACGAGGATCATGCTACTGATTCCAAATTGAAAGCAAAAGGCCGTGACAATAACCATTCAAATGGTTTCAAACCAAAGTCTGTAGACAAGTCAAATGTCGAATGTTATAGATGTCAGAGGTATGGCCATTACAAGTCTGAATGTAGAACTAATCTCAACAGAAATCGTGGTATGAAATCAAATTTTGCAGATAAAGAAGAAGAAGTTTCTCTCTTGATGGCTTGTCATGCAAAGGAAGAAGTCCACCAAAACTTGTGGTATTTAGATACCGGCTGCAGCAACCATACGTGTGGAGACAAGTCAATGTTTTCAGACTTGGATGAATCATTCCGCAACACTGTAACCTTTGGTGACAACTCTAAAGTTTCTGTCATGGGTAAAGGAAGTGTAAAAATCCACACTAAAGAAAACTCCAGTCAGATTATTTCTAATGTTTTCTTTGTTCCAGATCTGAAAACCAACTTGCTAAGTGTTGGACAGCTCCAAAAGAAGGGATATGAGATTTCTATCAAAGATGGAGTTTGTCGCATACAAGATGAAAAATTGGGCTTAGTTGCTCAAGTCAACAAGACAACAAACCAGATGTTTCCGCTATATCTCGACAACACCATTCAATCATGTTTCTCTGCAAGATTGAAGGATGAAGCATGGTTGTGGCATTTTTGCTATGGACATTTGAATTTTGGTGGTCTAAAAACGCTGCAGCAGAAGAACATGGTGACATGTCTTCCACAAATTCAGAGTCTTTATCAAGTATGTGAAGAATGTGTTGTTGGCAAACAACATCGAGACCATTTTTCAAAAGGAAAATCATGGAGAGCGAAGAAGGTACTGGAACTGGTTCACTCCGATATATGCGGGCCTATTAATCCGACATCAAACAGTGGTAAACGTTATTTTATAACGTTCATTGATGATTATAGTCGGAAAACTTGGGTTTATTTTTTACAAGAGAAGTCTGAAGCTTTTTCAGCTTTCAAAAACTTCAAGACGCTAGTTGAAAAAGAAGCAGGCATGCCTATAAAAATTCTTCGCAGTGATCGTGGTAGAGAATACAAGTCACAAGAATTTACAAATTTTTGTGAGGAGCATGGGATTCAGAAGCAGCTTACTACAGCTTATACTCTGCAGCAAAATGGCGTTTCAGAGAGAAAGAACCGTACAATCTTGAACATGGTGCGAACTATTTTGGCAAGAAGCAGTATCCCAAGAAGTTTTTAGCCCGAAGTTGTCAATTGGAGCATTCATGTACTGAACAGAAGTCCTACACTTGATGTTTAGAACGTGACGCCTGAAGAAGCTTGGAATGGACAAAGACCAAGTATCGATCACTTCAGAATCTTTGGGTGCATTGCATATGCCCACATTCCTGATCAGAAAAGAAGAAAGCTTGATGGCAAAGGAGAAAAATGCATTTTTCTTGGTGTTAGTGAGTAGTCAAAAGCGTACAAATTGTACAATCCTATCACCAAGAAAATTGTCATTAGTCGTGATGTAGTGTTTGATGAAGAACGGTTCTGGATTTGGGATGAAAACAATGCTGAACATCAAATGCAAGCTGATTTTGATGGAGAAAATGAAGAAGGAAGGCAGCAATCTTTAGAGAATGTACAGTTGCAAGCTGATTTTGATGGAGAAAATGAAGAAGGAAGGCAACAACCTTTGAAGAACGCACAGCCCGTGCAGAACGAGCAGCAACCACCAGTTGAAGCAGAAGATGATCATCGACCTCGACGAGTTAGAAGAAGACCAGCTTGGATGACTGATTATGAGATAACTGGGATTGATCAAACCGAAGACCCACTTACACACTTTGCTCTATTTTCATATTATGATCATGTAGCTTTCGAAGATGCCGTTAATGAATCAAAGTGGCGGAAGGCGATGGATGCTGAAATCGCAGCCATTGAAAGAAATAATACTTGGGAGTTGACAGAGCTTCCAAAAGGGCAAAAAACCATTGGCGTGAAGTGGGTGTACAAGACGAAGCTGAAGGAGAACGGTGAAGTCGATAAGTACAAGGCTCGCTTAGTAGCAAAAGGCTACAAGCAAAAGTTCGGCATCATCGATTACAAAGAAGTCTTTGCTCTAGTTGCTCGCCATGACACAATTAGATTGGTGATTGCATTGGCAGCACAAAACTCATGACCTATCTTCCAGTTGGACGTGAAATCGGCATTCTTGCATGGAGACTTGAAAGAACAGGTATTCATTGATCAACCTCCTGGTTATATTAAGGTCAGAAATGCGCATAAAGTGTATAAATTGAAAAAAGCTCTTTATGGACTAAAACAAGCTCCACGGGCTTGGTATAGTCGTATTGAAGCTTTTTTTTTTGAAGGAAGGTTTTCAGAAATGTCCATATGAGCATACACTTTTTATTAAAATTGGAGATGGAGGAAAAATGCTTATTGTTTGCTTATATGTGGATGATTTAATTTATACTGGAAATGATAGTGCCATGTTTGAAAAATTTAAGCACTCCATGATGCTTGAATTTGATAAGTCTGATCTTGGAATGATACACTATTTTCTTGGTATAGAAGTTGTGCAAACTCCTACTGGTAATTTTATTTCTCAAAAGAAATATGTGCAAAAAATTTTAGACAGGTTTCAGATGAAGAATTGCAATTCTGTTAGCACACCAATTGAGTTTGGTTTGAAGCTGATGAAAGATGTTGAAGGAAGAAAGGTGGACAACACTCTATACAAGCAAATTGTGGGAAGCTTGATGTACTTGACCGTAACAAGGCCTTATATAATGCATGATGTAAGTCTCATTAGCCGGTATATGGAATGTCCAAGGGAGATACATTTTCTTGCTACAAAGAGAATTTTTCGGTACTTGCAAGGTACAACTGATTTTGGGCTATTCTACCAGAAGGGAGAAAAGACAGATTTAGTTGGCTTTATTGACAGTGACTATGCTGAAGATCTAGATGATAGAAGAAGCACATCCGGATATGTTTTTATGATGGGCTCAGGAGTTGTTTCATGGTCTTCAAAGAAGCAAGCAATTGTTACTTTATCAACAACTGAAGCGGAGTTCGTTGCTGCAACAGCCTGTGCTTGTCAAGCTATTTGGTTGAGAAAAATTCTTGAAGAGCTTCATTTCAAGCAAGTATGAGCCACTACAATTTATTGTGACAATAGCTCAGTAATAAAGCTCTCCAAAAATCATGTTCTACATGGAAGAAGCAAGCATATAGATGTGAAGTTTCATTTTTTAAGGGATCTCACGAAGGAAGGAGTCATTGATCTCATTCATTGCAGAAGTGAAGATTAAGTTGCTGATATCTTTACCAAGTCCCTCAAGTTGGCTGCATTTCAGAAGTTGAGAAAGCTGCTTGGTGTTGACAAGTTGGATTAAACTGAATGTTGGCAAACTTTCAGTTTAAGGGAGGGAATGTTGAGTCATGTGAGTCATATTTGACCATGTTTATTTATTTTATTTATGGAGTCAGTTGTTTAGTGTCCTAGAATATAGGAGTTTATTTTTTAGTGGTACAGAACATGGCTTTGTGTTTACCAAGTCAGTAGGAGGTTTGTTTTTGCACGTTGCTTTTTTCTAGGATTTAAGGGATGCATGTTCCTTATTTCATGTTATTATCCGTTGGGGATTAGCTCTATATAAAGAGCATCAGGTTGTAAGCTTTTGTTCGGCAGCAAATAATAAAAGTTGTTCATCTCATATTTTTGTCCTTTTCTCTTTATTATTGTAGCGTACACTAACCTAAAAAATTATTTTTATTTATATTTTTTATCTTTATTGCGCCAAATGTCGTTTTGAAAACGTTTTTATTTTTTCTTTCTCAAAAACCGTAAAAAAAGGAGATCAATTCCAAACACGACAAAAATGATTGCCGGATGTGATATTTTTCAAAAATAAAAAAAGAATTAAAAGGTTTTTTTTTTGTTAACATTAAATCAAAACATCTTATAATGACTTAATCGGTCAAGGAGATTCCTCTGACAAACTAAGGATCCGTTCGGTTCGCTAATTCGAGTTTTTAATTCAAGTTGAGATGTGATGCTGTGTGAGAGCTTTTTACTGTAGCAAAAAGTTAGATGTGACTGTTTCTGAGAGCTTTTTACTGTAACAAAACTTAAATTCTAAACTCGAATCAGCGAAATGAACGGAGCCTAAGTTCATTTTATAGAGGACCAGCATATTTAGGAGTTAAGATTTTGGTTACTCTATAGACATGAGCAGCGACGTAGCTAATTAAGGATTAGGGTGCTCTCCCCCCTTAATTCCTTTTCCCTTTTTTTTTTTACTTATATTTATATAAGAATATCTCTAAAATAACTGTACAAAGTCCCCTCTGAAAAATTAAAAAAAATAAAATTTTATCCTTTTAAATTTGTGTTGTAGTTATTAGCCCTCCCTCATATAAATTTCTGACTTCCCACTGAAGATGACTAACTTAATTTTTGGAAGAAAAAAAATGCGATAATCATGCATAATTATTAATTAAGCCGAACCCATTGCAAAGATTAATATATTTTTTTTTCTTTTTTTTTTTTTCTCTTTTTGCAGGAAATGTTTCGCAACTTGGAATGATAAAGCGATAAAATAAAGACAAATCATTCGTTAATATGGCCAAAAATGATAAGTAGGTGTTCTGGAAACCTTGGCATTTGCCGAGACGGAAGAACTACACAACAAGAAGACAAGTGACAAGATAGCAGCAGAATGTGGCTTAAAAGTATCAAGTTAGTATTGACTTGCAATTAACGTCTCCTTATTGTATTTGTTTCTCACTGAATAATCTTATCGGTCAAATTATGACTTAGAAAAGCCAAAGAAATGCGTGACAGAAAATAACTATTTATCAACCAAAATGATATTTCTTAATTATTCTTTCATTTTCTTTGTGGGTTTAGTCCAGGAACACTAATGGTAATTGGACCCTACCAAATTAAAAAAAAAAAAAACGTGGTTTTGCAAGTTTCAACCATTGGTATTGCCATGGCGGCTTCTATTTCAGCGTTGTTGTTAGATGAAGATTATAAAAATAGCTGAATAAGGAACCTTCTGAGTTTTTAATGGCGGCTGCTTCAATTATATGTCAATCTAACAATTAGAGATGAAAATAGTTGAACTTTTATACCAACTCAGGTGCAAGCCAGAGTCAAGGGGAGCTGCAAAACAAATTTTTTTTTTTTTATTGTCTTTAAGTTGAATTTCCAATCCCTTTTTAAGATTAAATAAAATTAGGCATGAAAGATGGTCGTTTGGTTCATGGATTAGAATCATGAGATTAAAATTATTTTCGATTTACGTGTGTTTTTTATAAAAGAAAATACTATAACGAACCATGAACTATAATTCAAATTAGAGAACGAATCTTTCAACTAAACGAGCTCAAAGTGTGTGTTTAGAATCCATTTTGAAAAAAAAAATTTCACGTTTTTTGAGAAATAAAAAATAAAATGGTCTCAAGATTCCAGCGTTTGGAGTAGCATCTAACAAAAACAAAACTGAAAACGTTTTTCCCCTTTCTGCCAAAAACTCACTTTCTAAAAACGAGTTTTTCTTTTCCTATTTTCATTCCTGTCTCCATCTTTCTAAACATTGAGCTTCTCGGTGGAATCGCAAAGAGGTTTTCTCCTCTCTCTTTCCTTTTACTCGGTGGGCTTCTCTCCTCCAATCTCCCTCTTCTCCGGCTTCTCGCTTTTTCTAAATGGCGGGCTTACATCTTTTGCTGAATTTGAAGAGGGTTATTGCGAAAAGATGAGGGGAAAAGATGCAATGAAGATGGAAGAAGTGGAGGATGGTAGACAGAACTGGAACAAGAATTTCATGGAGATGCTGCAACAGCTTAATCAATCCGCCGGAAGAGAAAACATGGAGAGAAGAATTGAGGATGTCAAGATTATGATTCAATCGGATATTTATATAATATATAATATCTTAATTATTACCCAATTGTCTGGGTAGATTATTAATTATATAATATATTATTTACAATACTATTACACATTTTTAAAAATAAATTATCAAACGGACTTTTAATTTTTTTTATACTAAACATAATTTCTGAATAAAATTACTAAACACATCAAAATATTTTTATTTCTATCTTCGTATGCAAAACGAAATCATTTTGAAACGATTCTAAATCCAAAGATTTTCTATATTAATGAAATGGAAAATAGAAGCTAAAGATGGATGTCATGCAACACATTATGTGTTAATAATTGAACGCTTTTTGGATTTTGCAACTTCTCTCGTCAGATCGCCTTCTACCCAACTCCCTATTTTAGCATATTTTAGCTTCTCTTTTTCCCCCTTTTTACCGAAAAGTGAATCTCAAGTGTAAGACCACTTATAAGCATCATCTTCTTGAGACCAAAACCATATCCTGTCTGCCTATTTTATCATATCACACTTTTGATATAAAGAACCTAACTTTATCACAACCCAACTAACACATACATACATACACACATACATATACATATATATTCAGTTTAGAAAAACAAAAAAAACAATAATAAGAATAATAAGAATCTTGCATTACAAAAGAGTTGCACCGAGTTTGCTTGTAATACTCAGCTATCATTTTCTATTGTTAATCACCAGAAAGATTCCATCTTTAAAGCATATTACACTCGAGAAAAGAATAACTTTTATGCCATTAATAAAAAGTTTCAATAAGAAGAAAAAAATTAACGCAATTTGTAAATAATTAGCAGTAATCTATATTAGATCATGTATGTCTCATTTCATTGAAATTCAGTACAATTGAGTTCATTACATCCTAGCAAATCTCTCACCCTTTTTCCCTCTCTCAAAAGTGGCATATCATCAGCTTATATATTATACAGAACTAATTTTAATTTCCCAAAAAAAAAAAAAAGAGAGAGAGAGAGAAAGTAAGATTGTATAGCAACTATAGAAATAAATCTCTACTTTGAAGAACAAACCGTTCTTTCTCCTGTCATCCATTCACATCACGAGGGACCGTTCGGACGCCGTACAGAGATTTGGGCCGTGATGGGCCGGCCCGTACCGGACCCTCCACAGCTGCTGCAGCCCATGCGGCCCGACCCGGCGCACGTCCGGCATCCGATGTCGCCGTCGGACCACCGCGAGCAGAGACACGTGACACGGCCCGTGCCGTTGCAGCTCGGGCACCTCGGGAATGGGCCGGCCATGGGCTTCTGGTCCATCACCGATTTCACCAGCACCGCTCCGACCAATACGCTCAGCCCAGTCGCCACCTGAGTCAACACGATCGGTTCCATTCTCCAACTACGAGAGGATTTGGAGGAGCAGAGCAAAGCAAATCACGCCAGAAAATGGAGAGAGAAAGAAAGAGAGAGAGAGAGATTGAGAGATTTTTTTATTTTTTTTTATTTTTTCGGGTGGGAAGTTTATGAGTAATATTTAAAAGATTTTGGGAATAAAAGAGGTATTGGAATTGTACACGTAGACGCGTGCATTGGTGGCATGAAGGGGTCGGAGATTTGGATTGTAGTGACTAGTGAGGGAGAGAGAAGAAGAGAAGAAAGGTTTGGCTTTCTCTCTCTTGTTTCTTTCTCCTCCTCTTGTTTGGACGGTCACGATTGAATCTTTCGGCAGTGTGAAGCTAGATCTCTCCAGATTTTATGGGTGGAATTTATCTGGTGTATTCCTTCGTATGTATTCGTTGCTTGTGAATGACTTAACTTGCGGGTGAATGGAAATATCTTTCGTCTAAAAAAATGAAGTGGATATGGTTTTTGATATGCCATTGCCAAAGACCATGCCACTACCATCCATGTTTCTTATCCAATTCTCTTCATATTTTTTTTTCTTAGGAACTTCCAAAAAAAATTTGAAAAAATTGCAGCAATTTTTTATTGTGTTTTACATTTGCCTCATAAAGTTAAAGCGTTTGTGTTTTTCTACAACGTAGTTAGTTACGTGATTAAATTAAAAGATAATAAGAGAAATATTGGTAAAGTGATTAATAAATTATAGTATATTTTTAAAAAATAGTAACTTACAGCATAATTTAATATTTTAAATTTTAAATATTATTAAAAACCCCAAAATACTTATAAATCTCATTTTTTTACCTCACTCATCTTCCTTAAACATTTATTTTTTAAAAAATAGTGAATTTTATAATATTTTTTAAAATAGGTAGATTATAGTCAAGTCCACCATGGCCGGGACTGGCGGCCAGCTCTGGCTGTCGGAGACCATTTTTTGACAACTTGTGACCGTTTTTTGGTGATCGATAATTTTTTTTAGGTGATTATTTTTCGGCGACCGTACAGTATTTATTGGTAAATACTGTATTTACATTTAATATCGCATTTACTCAGTAAATATTATATTTACCCGAAAAGTCGGCCACCGACTCCGGCAACCATTTAACGTTGTATTTATAGGTTAATATCATATTTACCAATAAATACCGTATTTATTAGTAAATATTATATTTTTTAAAAAATTCAGTCACCGACTACGGTGACCATTTAATACTATATTTATCAGTAAATATCGTATTGAATGTTTGGTAAAGAATGTTTTTATTTATAATAAAAAATTAATATGCCATAATTTACTAAAATTAAAAAAAAAAACATGCTTTTTACTTTAAAATCATGTCTAAAATATGTTATAGTGTATTTTTCCTTAAATCAAATCTTTTTGACAAATAATCTTTGCCTCCGACTTGTTGGGGACTTGCAAACTATACGGAGCTTGAGTCGCCTACAATAGTACTAAAGGATGGTTGGACAGTCTTTACTTTTTCAAACCCATGTTTTTTTTCTCCTGCGCCGCCCAAAGTGACGCGATCATCCACTTGCCAATGGAAATAGTCACCGGAGACCCGGTCGATAAAATTGCTTTGGACTTTTATACATGTTGAATAAATAAATAAATAAATAAATAACTACAAGAGTAAGTGAAATAATTAAATATAGGGCTCGTTCACTATGCAGATTCAAATTTTTAATTCGAGTTGAGATGTGATATTTTTTGAGAGCTTTTCACAGTAGTAGAAAAAGTTAAATATGACATTTTATGAGAACTTTTTACTGTAGAAACCTAAAACTGAAAACTCGAATCGATAAAGTGAACGAGGCCATAGTCTCGAGAAGAAAGTTGAAATCGACTCTTCTGAGAGTTTGATGAATATGAGACAAAAATAAATATCACAAAAATTATAAGACACGTTCACATAAACGTTCAGATGGCCGAGTTGGTCAAAGGCGCCAGATTAGGTTCTGGTCCAAAAGGGCCAGGGTTCCAATATCACTCTCAACAATAAATACTTTATAACTATTTTCATGGAAGAGTTTTCTGTTAGTTTTGGACTGTTCTTTTGATAAACGCAATTAGATAGATTTAATTTAGAGAAAACGAGGGAAATACTCCTTAAATGGGTACCTCAATCTATTTCTAATTTAAAAAATTAATTCATTGATTTTTACTTTTTTACAATTAAAAAAATAAAAATAGTTAAGTTAAACATTTTTAAAATTCTAAAGCTAACCCCAATGGTCTATTAGTAAATTATAAGATATGTCGGTGGTCCCCTGTTGCCAATCGGCAGGTCTCTAGCCGGGCAACCATAACTTGATAGGTTATGATCCATAACATAACATATTACACCGGTCATCGATGGGTCTCCGGCCATAACCTAATAGATTACATCGGCCATCGGTGAGTCTCTGGTTAGCCACTGACCACAATCTGACAGATTATACCGGCCACCGACGGGTTTTCGGTCATAACTTGACAGGTTATGATCCATAACCTGACAAATTACACCGGCCACCGGCGAGTCTCCAACTAGCTGCCGGTCATAACTTAATAGGTTATGATCCATAACCTGACAGATTACACCAACCACAGGCAAGTCTCTGACCATAACCTGACAGGTTATGATCCATAACCTAACAAATTACATCGGCCACCGACCTCCAGTTACTGACGGTAGTCATAATATGATCTATCAGGTTATAATCCATAATCTATTAGTATTTTAGTCCTTTCAATTTGTGATAAAAATATCTCATAAATAAAAGGGTAGAGTTTTTTTTTTTTAAAAAGATAGAATTAGAAGGTTTGGTGATTATGGGTAAAACATGTAATTCTCTCTTTAATAATTTAATCTATTAGCATGACCGGGAAAAAAAAATCTTTATTGAGTTTTGGGTTCGGAAAATAAATGACATTTTGGTTTAGAGAAACAATAATATGTCCTTTTTTTTTTTTTGCTGAAAAAGAGAAAAAGAAAACACAGAAATCGTCAAAGACAGATCGTTGAAAAACATAAAACGTCACGGCGTCATGTACTTTTGCTTTTGGCAACCGTTTCTCAAGTAATTCACATAAAACGACATGCCGTTTAAGAAATGCCGCATAGTTGGCATCAAATAAAAACAGCCAACAAAGTATGCTCTGTTGCGAATTTATAAATCAGGTGTAAAAAATTAAATTTGAACGAGAGGAAATAACAAACTTAAAACACTTGTCTAATGTTAATGTTGATTCTTGAAGTCTGGATGTATTCTAAGAAACAACAATCTTCTTCTTGTGAGAATTGCAATTCAAGATGCGAAATATCAGCATTTTCTTTGTCTGTGAAGATACGCGGCACACCTACAACACAAAAACCCAAAAGAAGATCTCTTTAAGAGGTTGTAGTAAATAGACAATTGAGAACAAAAAAAAAAAAAAAATTAATACACCTTATTGGATAACTTTATTATCCAAGAGCTCATAGATTTAGAATTGTCTAACAACATTGTTTCTTCGAGGCTTTGCTTTTTTTATTCATTACAATGGGAATGATCATAAATCATTAACCAACTGCACTACATTGATCACTATAAAATCATCACAAAAAGGTTATCTATCACCATTGGTGATGCAATCATCAGACGTGTTAGTACCCGTTCATTTCACCTATTCGAATTTTGCTACAGTAAAAAGCTCTCAGAAACAATCACATCTAACTTTTTTGCTACAGTAAAAAGTTCTCACATAAAATCACATCTCAACTCGAATTAAAAACTCAAATCAGCGAATTAAACAGGCCAAATTGTCACATAATACAGTAGAACCCAGTTTCAATTCTTCAAGTTTTTTTCATGCGACAGACGTGTGATGATTCACCGCACATGATCATGAATAGCAGTACTCTACTGATTGATGTAACTTCCTCTGTACTATAGTTTCCACTAAGATCTACTAGATATATTTTAATCAGGCTAAGAGAGAAGAGAGGATAGCATGATCTCAATAAGAAAATGAAAAACAAGTTTCCATACATAGATAGATACATAAGAAGTACAAACAAGTTGACTTACCATGATAGCATTCCCTTGCTTCTCCTGCCATAAGCACAACATCCCCACTTCGCAGGAACATTGCCAATGGAGGATCCTCTCTAGACTTCCCTCCCAAAAGGAATATTGCTTTACACCCCAAACTGAAGTAACACAAACAATACATTATATTTATACCATGCAACCCAGAAAGTACATTGATCCACATGATTATCAAAAGAACCAAAAAAAAAGATGGCCAATAATGAAATACCTCATGCTTACTATAGGTCTACTCCAATCTTTTTCCATGTCATCAAGGTGACCTCCTAGCGTATCACCTTAATAAACACCAAATAAAATTTTAAGAATTTTGTTTTAACTCTCTAAATCAATATTGGTTTTATATGATCTTTTTAAAAAAAAAAAAAATTCTTTTTTAAAAGGTACCTAAGCCAAAGTAGTTCACTATTGCGGCTTCTGGCTTGAATTCTTCCCCGTTAGGCATTGCAGGAGATGCCATTCTTTTAGCAAGTTCACAGAGTGCATCAGGTATTTTGTTATGTGCAAGAGATACGTCATAATTCCTCTACAACATAAAAAAAAAAACAAAGATTCATTAAGAAAATAACTCAGAGAGAGGAAAATTATATTCATTGAAAAAGAAAAAACACTTCATGACATCTCATCAAAGTAAAATTTAATTTGTTGGGAGCAAAATAACTTTTTATAAAACAGCAATTTTAGCTTTTAGAACTTTCGATACATCTAATTCGTCTCCGAGAGAGAAATATGAATGGCTTCAGTGAAAATAGAGTACAAAGATGAAGCGTTCTCATTCCATTTATACATTTACACACAATTCGAATCGTAAATATAGATTGATTTGAAATATAAAAATAAAGAAAATTTTGAAAAATTGTGACCTGCCTTGGACCAGTCAAATTGCAAGCCAAGAGTGCTCCAACGCAGTTTCCGAAGCAGAACAGAAGCTGAGATAGATTTGCATGTCTTTGACACTTGATCTTCTTCCACCAATTTCCACTCTTTGGTATCATCATCGTCATCCTTAGAACTCTCTAGAAATTTCCTCTCTTTCGCCGCAGAAAATAGATCATGAATTCGCCCGTAAAATGCATTGTGATTCGTTCTGTTAGGAGGCTGCGGAAAGCTTATTAGACTCTCCTTTATCCATCGGCATTGTTCTTCTATGCTCAACGCTTCAGGAATAAAATAAAATCCTACCCAAAAAAAAAAAAACTCTTCCTCAGAAGAAAAAAATAACAAAAAAAGAACTTAATAGCAGTTTCTGTTTTATGATACCAGGACGATTTTCCAAACGGAAGACCGGAAGGCCAAAATTGGAAGAAAGAGCGACAATTCCAGGCGGAATCTCGCCGTTGTTATTGGAAGATTCTAGAATGTTCTTGAAGTCCAGGACATCGGATAAATCCACGTGTTTGGGTTGCTTTTTCCTAAGAAAGGAAGAAACCGATTGAAATTGTTAGGGAAAATTTTTTCAGTTTCATTTGAACTTAATAGATAATCTGAAGTGGTTATCAGAAAAGCAAAAGAAAAAAGATTACTTTTTGGAATTGGATTCGTAATAGAGCTTGTACTGCTTCTCGGCTCTTCTAAAAGCGGTTCGCTCGGAGTCATCGGGAACTTTATCGGATCCGTACATTTCGCAGTTATTCGTGTTTTACAGGTGAAATTAGCTCGGAGTAACCAGTAGAAAGAACGGAGGTACGAGGAAAGGGTTGTAGGGTTTAGAAGGTTTGATTAGGGTTTCTTCTGTGGACCCCTTGTATGGATCTCACGGTGCGTTTGTTCATGTCTGTGCCGGTGGGCATTCAAGTGTGACGACTGCCAAGGCTATGATGTCGTTTCTTTGGCTGAATTTTGTTGTCGTTTAACCATTAAAACGACATCACGCTTATACCGCAACATATAAATGTTTGTCGTTAAAAGCTTTGCTGTCTTTTATTTGGGCTATTTACGGACTACAGCAAATTTGAGGCTTGGATTGAGTTATACTTATGCCACGGAAAAAAAAAAAAGGGAATGAATAGTGTATCTAAATTTTTACCCATAACTTCATTAATATTTTTTTAAAGTTAAATAATTATATTAGTTAAAAAGATATTAATTAAAAATAAAATGTAAAAATCAAGACTCATA